GAGAGGGAGAAGCAGGCTTCCCACTGAGCAGGGAGCCCGATGTGGGACTCGATCCCAGGACCCTGGGATCATGACCTGAGCCGAAGGCAGCCGCTTAACGACTGAGCCACCCAGGCGCCCGAAAAGGAACTTCTAAATCCTTGGCATGTCCTGCCTGATAAGTGTCTTTGAACACCTGGGGTCCTTGAGCCACACTAGATAGTATGTCCTGTCTGTGTGGTTTATGGCGGGGGCCCTGGGCCACGCCATGTCAGGATGACCCCTGAAGGGGCCGAAGACTGAGTAGCTGAGGTCAGCCATGTGATTTATCCATGCCTACAGAACTGCCTCAGACCCTGGACAGTGAAACCCCTGGACGCCAAGGCTGGACTGAACTTCCCCAGCGGGCAGTCCTCTGTGCAGATCGTCACACATTGTTGGTGGACGCGGTGAGCGCTGTCCGTGTGACTCCACTGGGAGAGGACAACTGGAAGCTCACACCTGGTCTGGACGCTGCCTACGAGCCTCTTCCCTTGGCCGATTTGCATCTGTATCCTTTCTGCTATGATCATCTGTAGCCATGAGCAGAACAGCTTTCCAGTGATTCCTTCTAGCGAACCGTCGAAACTGAAGGGGGTCTTGGGGGCCCCTGAGCTGCAGTGAGGGAGGGAGGATTGAGTCAAAGAGTTAGCGGGGATCTGGAACACGGGGCATCTTGTATGACCTTGATAGACTAGCTTTTCATTGGAGCTGGGAGCCACTGGGGGGTTTAGAGCTGAGGGGTGACGTGATTTGAATCATGCCTTAACGAAAATCCCTCTGTGTAGAGAATGGACTGCTGGGGGAGCAGAAGGAGGGAAGGGGCACTGGCAGAGCCGGTTAGAAGGCTGAGGCCATAAGCCCAGTGAAACAAGATCAGGGTGGTAACTGGATGAGCAAGGAATCAAATTCTGGGCACATTTTTAAAAATCTTTTTATTGTTATGTTAATCACCATACATTACATCATTAGTTTCTGATGTAGTGTTCCATGATTCATTGTTTGTGCATAACACCCAGTGATCCATGCAGAACGTGCCCTCTTTAATACCCATCACTGGGCTAACCCATCCCCCCACCCCCCTCCCCTCTAGAACCCTCAGTTTGTTTTTCAGAGTCCATTGTCTCTCATGGTTCGTCTCCCCCTCCGATTCCCCCCCTTCATTCTTCCTGGACACATTTTTAAGGTAGGAGCCAACGGCACTTACTGATGAATCAGATGTGGGATGCAACAAAGCAGCTGAGGACGATCCCAACACTCTTGGCTGGAGCAGCTGAATGACAATGGGGCAAGATGGGGAGATATGGGAGGAGTTGGTGTGGGATGTGGGAGAGACTAAGACACGGGAGATTTGAGATGCCTCTTCTTTTCAAGTGGATATCGGAGATGAGTCTGGAGTTACCACATAATTATTATTGCTAGAATAAACTCCTATAAATATGATTCCTGGAGGAAGCCTCAGTAAATATGTCTACTTAAATAGACCTCAATAAATTACGATTAGAGAAGGCCTCAATTGCCATTGTTAGTAGAGGAAGCCTCTATAAATATGGTATTATTGTTATTTGTGGAGTCCCCAGTAAATATTTCCAGGGAGTAAGCCTCTATTAATATGACAGTTTTAGCATAGGTTGTAATTAATATTCTTATTATTAGAATGGGCCTTGCTAAATAGTCTTATTATTTTATGGTAGATATCAGTAAATCTCATGACAATTGGGCACAGCTTATTGAATGAAGTAATGAATGAGTGAATGAGAAGGTCAAGGTCATGAATGGTGTGTGAAGAGTCAGGAGGGGGTGCAGATCAGAGATCTGGTGCTTCCAGTTGGAGGGGCCCATCCAGGGAGGGGAGGGGCGGTTAGGAATGCTGACTGGAGACGATGTGAGTGGACGGCGAGGTGGTCTTTTCCACAGATCTTTTCATTTATTGTATTATCCCATTGATCTTATGATTCATAAGAAATACATATTTGGTCTTTGGTCTTTGTGCTGTTCCTGGCACAAAGCTGCTAAAAGCCTTGGAATTTCATAGGTGATGAGGGCCTTGAAGGTGTATTTGCTACGTTAATGAGGCAACTGGGGGCCCAGGGTAAGCACTTGAGAGTAAGGGCAGGTTGCCAGGGGAACCAACCAGGTGTGGAACTTTCAGTCCCAGTCCCCAACCTGGGGAGGGAGGGGCTGAAGACTGAGTAATCACCAGTGGCCGATGATGCACTCAAGGATGCCTGTGTGTAATGAAGCCACCATGAAAACCCACAAAGACTGGGTTCAGAGAGCTTCCAGGTTGGTGAACGCATGCATAATGGGGAGAGTGGCCCCCTGGAGAGGGCACAGAAGCCCCTTGCCCTCTTCCCACACCTTGCCCTCTGCGTCCCTTCCATCTGGCTGTTCCTGAGTTATATCCTTTTATAGTAAACTGGTGATCTAGTAAGTAGAATCTTTCTCTGAGTTCTGTGAGCTGCTCTAGCAAATTAATCAAACCCAAAGAGTGAGTCATGGAAACCTCCAATCTACTGCTTGTCGACCAGAAGCCCAGGCGAGAAGCCGCACTTGTGATGGCATCTGAGGTGGGGGTGGGGGGCAGTCTTTAGGACCGAGTCCTCCACTTGTGGGATCTAACACTACCTCTGCATAGATAGTGTCAGAACTGAGTTGCTCGGTGATGTGGGATTAGGAAAAAACACACACACACACACACACACACACCAAGAATTGGACCTACACATCTGTTTCCTAGAGGTCATAGTTAACCCCTGGGTGGGGACTGTGTGATTCATGTCTGTCCCCATCCCTACGGAGACCGAGCAGGTTGGCCTGCAGTAATCCAACCACCCCCACCCCATCCACCACTCACACCTGTTTCTCATCACCCCAACCCCTCAAGGACCACACCTTAGTAGTTTCATATCAGTTTTATTAGGCTCTCAAAAAGTCGCTCTAACTGGAGATCCCATTTCTCTAACACCCCCTCTTCGTGGGCTGGGCCTTGGGTCATCTCAACTGCCTCCCACCAGGCCCCCTTCTCCCTCCTTCCCCCTTGGGACGCAGGAGTCAGAGGCCCCCACCCAGAGTCCAGGACTGAGCCCCCTCCTGCCCAAAGGAACCAGGACTTCAGGCCTCTAGACCCTCCCCCTCCTTTTCAGTGGCCCCATTTTAACTTCCAGATGAAGTTGGGGGTACATTGGGCTCAGCGGGGAGCAGACGGGCGCCGACATTCATGCATCCGGTAGGCACACATGTAGAAAATCCCTGCGTGAGAAGAGATCCCACTTGGCCCCCAAGTCCTCCTAACCTGGGCTCCCAACCCAAGACCCCAAAACAGCACTCCCTCTCTCCCTGGGTGTCTGTCTTCTGGCTCAATGCTGGGGGGAGGCCCTGTGGGATACCCCATCATCTCGCCCTCTGGAGTGCTGCCCACTCTGCCATGGACGCTGAACTTCCCACCCCCAAGCCCTCGTACCTGCGAAGAAGGTCATGAGCAAGGCCACCCAGCCCAGGATGTAAGACCAGGAAAAGCGCCAGTCCCCAAAGCGGCGACCGAGGAAGCTCAGAGTGACTCCAGTGTAAATGGCCAAGGCCAACAGGACAAAAAAGGCTGGGGAGAGAAGATGGGGGGAGGTGGGTGGGAAAAGGGTGGGGGTGGGGTTTTCCAGATCGGGGTGGGAGTGAGATTGAGGAAGGCAGAGGGCCGGGTAGGAGTGGGAAGGGAAAAGGGTGAGGGTGCCTCGGGAGTAGGGTTGGGGTGGGGATGGGACGGGGCTGTGCTGTGTAATAAAGAATTTGAACGGGCTGGTTTGGGGCTCTGGTTCCTGGGAGGGAGATGCTAAATCCTTGGAATTTCCTGATCAATACGGGTGTCTTTGTTATTGGTGAGCCTCTTGGATTTATGTTGATGAGCTGAGATGACAGTGGGTAGGACCTGGTCACCAGAAGGACCAGCCACGGGAACAGAACAGCCGGTAGGGGCTTTAAGCCACTTGGTATCCTGGGAAGGAAGCTAGAGATTAAGTTCAGTCACAGGGTCAACTACTCAGTCAATGAAACTCCAGCAGGAACTCCGGATACCGAAGTGTGCGGGAGCTTCCTGGCTGGTGAACAGCTCAGTGGGACACCATGGGGGGAGGATGCAGAAGCTCTGCCTTTAAGACCCTCTCCGGCTTCACCCTATGCATCTCTTGATAAAGCTGGTGCTGAGGTGTGCCCTTTATAATAAATCTGTAATTGTAAGTGGAATGCTCTCTTGAGTTCTGTGACTTCTAGCAAATTTTTGAAACCGGCTGGGTCCTGGGGACCCCTGAACCACCTGTAGCCAGGGGTCAAAAGGGCAGATGACCTGAGGACCCCTCTTGCAACTGAAGTAGGGGCAGCCTTGTTAGGAATCACGCCCTTAAACCTGGGCGGTGGTTAGTGCTGGCCCCGAGCCACGGGACGGCGGCTGATGTGAGAAGACGCTGGCATTAGGCATTAGAACCAGTCTTGGAGTTGGGGTTGGGGTTGGGGTGCGACTAGGATGGCCATGGAGCTGAGAATGAGGAGGAACCCCTCCCCCCATGAGAGTGGTACTGGGGATGGAAATGGGCAGGGACGCTAGGGGTCGGGGTGGGGAGACGGGGAAGGTGGGTCCACTCACTGGAGGCGAAAAACATGATGCCCGCGGAGAAGGGCCGGGAGAGGCGGGTGAAGGTGGGCTGCTGAGCGAAGGCCAGGATGCCCATGATGATGCCCGATGTCGCGCACAGGGAGGACAGGATCATGAAGGCCCGGGTGGCATTCCAATAAGCTGTGGTAGCACCGAACAGTCACTCCCATGCCAACCCCTGCCCTCAGTGGCGAAAGCTGCTACCCCTGAGGGCCGGGATGCCTTGCCTCTCTCCACGTCCCTGACCCACCTCCTCCTTCACCTCTGCAAACAAATGCTCTCTTCCCCTGGCAAGCTCCTATTCATCTTCCACAGCCCAGCTCCCAAATCCCCTCTGGGAAGTACCCTTTCACCCCTCAGGTATCATCCTCATCCCCTGCTCTGGGCTGTGGCTCTTTGGATTGTTTCCCCTTCCAGCCTGATTGCTCCCTGAGGCCAGGATTCTACCTGGAGAACATCCTCAGCACAAGTTTGGTTTGCAAACAGGCCTGGAGAAATGTTTGGTGGATGGATGAATGAATGAATGAATGAATGAATGAATGATGAATGAGTGTTGATTCCCCGCCATCCTCCTGCTAATCACTTCCTACCCTCTCTCCCACCACTCCCTTTCATTTCCTTGATAACCACTTGCCCATACCTGAAAATGACCTATTTATTTATTTTTAACTTATTTATGTCTGTCTTTCCCTGCTGGTTGCTCAGTTATGTGAAGACAAAGGTCTTGCTTTCTCATTCACTGCTGCATCAGGCACCAGGCGCCTGGCGCGTAACGGGTGCTCAGGGCACATGCTGAGTGAATGAACGTGGAGCACTGAGAATCATTCGTCTCTTGTGCTTGGCTCTGGGCTGGCCCTTTAGGACATGCCCCGGGAATAATAGTTATGATCTCATCTTGCTGTATGTACTATTTTTAATCCCCATTTTTCAGGTGTGAAGAAACTAAGGCTGAGAGAGGTAGAGTGATTTATCCAGGGTCCCATAATTGGCACTATGACTGGTGTTGACAACCAAGCACCAAAGCCCTTGTTCTTAACTGCTTGGCTATTCTGTCTCTCAGAGGACCCATGACACCTGTGTACCTGGGACAGAGCCTGGATCCCGCCACTGAAAAATAAAAAGTCTGGATCTTTGCAAAATGCACTCTTTTGTCTTGTGTGAACCTCAGTAGGAAAAATTGCTGGCTGTTTCTCCATGGCTGTTGTTACGGGTTGAACGGTGTCTCTCCCCCAATGCCCAAATTCATATGTGGAAGTTAAGATGAGGTCCTACTGGAGCAGAGCGGATTCCTAATCCAAAACGACTTAGTATCCTCACAAAA